GGGCTCAGATTGCAATCCGCCATCCGTTTTTTTTTTTTATATTGTAAAATCTTAGCAGTGCGTGCGTTGCCTGTTTCCGATCAGTACAAGCGTAGGATCGATAGCCCGTGTCGTACGGAAAAAGCTTTTTTTGTTGTTGGACTGTGGGTGTTTGCCAAGATTTGGAATTTGATTTTTGTTTGATTGGATGCGGATTACAATCTGAGCTCGACTCATTGTTTTTTGAACAAAATCGAAAAAAGAGGACGCCGTCTTTCGTCAGAGGACGCCGTCTTTCGTCAAAGGACACCGTCGTTCGACCGGCGTCTAAACATCCTTGATTATTTTGTATCGACAACACTACATGGCGCCGCGTCACAGAAAGCTAGTGGTTCGTGCCGAACCTTCGTGCGTAGACCTGGGTATCCTCTTGGAACCTGTCGTCGCCATCTTGCCGGGGCTGCTTCTTCTCGCGATCACGTTCCACGACGGCAGGGTTTGCTTCTACATGCAGAACACGGAATGCGTGTCGCGTGAAAACCTCGCCAGGCTTACCCAACTCTTCGAGAAACACATGGACGTCACTGGCATCTCCCCGTACTCAATTATTGAGGGAGAGCTTCAGGAGGAATGGAGGAAGAAACGAAAGCGCGCGAGCAGTACTGGCGCGACCGCAGACACGTGTACCATACTTGTGAACCCCCTGGGAGAGGAATCGCTGCAGCACATCACACGAGAGTACGTTGTGGATCTGCTTAAACAAACGCTCAACGTCGGCGTCTTCTTTAAGTTTGGCCTTAAGCTTTATTCTCTCCCTCAAAATGTTAATTTCCGGACACGGAAATACTACAGTGACGTTCGGGTGCGCACCAAGGATAAGTGGATTACCGTGTCGAAGGACGAGGCCTATGATGAGATACTGTTTATGTTGGTTGAGAAGACACACGAGGCCGTGGAAATGTACAGGGATGGCGTCTCGGAGTTTGACATGAACCACTTCAACATGTTTTTACCGGTTGTGCTAGAGGGCAGAGACTCTCCCGTACCGGAGAGAAAGAAGTTGTACGAGAAAAGTCGCAACAAGGGTCTGGACACCATCGCTGTCAGCGTGAACGCCAGGCTCAGCCAGCTGGGCAGGTGGAGGGGCAAGAGAGTTACTCTGCGGTAACGTCCGGTGGCGCCACCCACCACGGCCGAGCTACGTGCTTGTGCCTGGCTGGTGGTCGCCGCCGGTACTGTAGTTTGTCTGACGATGTGGCATTTGGAGTTATTAAAAGTATTGCGCTAGGGTAAAGCACATGATGGATGTCTACGGCGGCCACCCTCTCGGGTTCGATTGGTACAGATTGCTGTCCATCTCTACGCTCGGCAGCAAGTCGACATCACACAAAACAAATTGCGACATTGGCAAGGAGTTGGCAAAACTTGACGGAAAGCACGACGCGGCCATACGGGGCATCAATGCAAAGCTTGATTCGTTGATAAAACGCGGGCACCAACAGACTATCTACCGGAGACTTGTCACAGCAAGCAAACAATCGTTGATGGAATGGCGGGGCATGCCTAGAGATCGGCCGCCCAGTGCGCCGCCCCCCCCCCGTGGTTTGCGATGGCAGGTCCGTTTTGTTTACCCCTGATGTGAAGGCAATATTGGCCAGCCTTGTCGAGCAGAAGGCTGCCGTCTTGCGAGAAGTGAACCTGCAAAAAATGGCCCAGGGCATTGTCAGCATTGACACAAAGCTTGGTGTAGATGCAGCCAAAATAGATGATGAGCGAGACCTTGATGCTGATTGGATGAAAGGATAAGTTGAAAAACAGGACGCAATCGACAAGAACATGGTCACCCTAGATCCTGGTATGCAGGCTATTTGGGATTCCCAATACGTATCCGGCAAAGACAACTACAATTTCGCAGCCACCACAAGTGAGACGCAGATAGATTATCATATCGCAAAGAGGTATGTTCCCACGACAGAGGAAGAAGAGTCTGATGAAATGAAAAAAGTTTCCAGGGATGGTGGTATCCCTGTTAAGCAATACCGAGATATGCGACACTGGTATGATTCGAGTTATACATACACAGCTCGAGAAGAACAACTTCTAAGATCATAAACTATCGTAATTGTGGTCGGGAGGAAAGCAACCCGTGTAGCGCTCTGCCTCCCGGAACAGCCCCGCGGCCGCGACTACGACCACGACCACGACCACGACCAGGACCGGCTTCGGGTATACCAGTGGGTGGTACTGGTTGCACTTGCTCGTTGGGTGGTTGCCCTCGGATTCTTTCCCAAATCTTGGAACCGGCGCCACCTAAATAACCCACGTCGTGAAATCCTGCTACAAAGATAACAAGATGAGCGAACATTATATCTTTGTGTTCAAAGCCAAATCCCGTCGCCGCCACAAGCATGTGTTGACCCCACCGAACATACTTATTCCATGTAACGTTTGGGAGGATAGATACCTCGTCTCCCTGATCATCTTTCCCTTTGTTAGGGTATACCTTGTGTTTGCACATTAACCGATACGTCCATACGGCCACGTAAAACACCAATAACATCGAGGCTTCGCCCAAGTACTGCATTTCTGGGTTTTTCCCTCGTTTCCTGCCTGAGCTGTGAAAAACGAAAGCTACGCCTGTCGCTAATTCTTTGAATGATTTAAAGCTAGCTAAATGTACTTCTTTTTATGAGCGGACTGCACCAATCTTTCAAGAAGGTGTCTTCGAGCAACACGCCATCCCTTTCCTCCGGAATAGTCAATTGGATATCGAAATACGATCGGACCTCCCATAGTTTTGTAATGGGCACTACTTTCAGTTGTGCTGGAATAGCTTTCTCATCATCGCTCCCCATATTCAACGAGGCCAAGGATCTTTTTGCCTGTACCGTGAAGCGGTATCGAGAGCATATTCCGCTATTTTTACCATCTGATAATGCTCCGTCGTAGGACTTCTCCCCGCTGCGACTTCATTCTTCACCGCGTCGCGGAACGACATAAACTATTTCCACCCCATGCTTTCCGCGAGGTCCTTGGGGAGTTCGTTGTCCAAAAGGTCGGATGTGAAAGAGATTACGTGCGTATGAACCATTTTCGGAATCTCCACCCACGACTTCTCGGACCTACTCGTAATATTTGCGACACACTGTTCAAAGATCGCTGCTTCCACAAGTTTGTCGTAGTTCGCCAAGAGAAGCGCGCTGAACAAGAGAAACGCGCGACAGCAGAAACAGAGTGGCGTGAACGAGCAAAGGAGGGCGTCAATCTGAGGTGGATGCGCACGGTACCGAAGAGCGCGAAGAAGCACGTGTCGAAAGTTTCCGCGGAGGACAGCGTCGCCGCGGTTGCCGTCGTCCGCGCCTTCCAGAGGGATGAGGATGTGATCGAACGCCCTATTCGGGGCGTGATGATGGCGTAAATATCTCGTTTATCCACCAACAATTAAAATGTATGCCGACACCAAATAGCAACATGGACGCCGGGATACGCGTCGACCGTGCATCAAACAAGGGCTCTGTAACGGACGTCGTGGAGGAAACCGAGACGCGTCACATCGCCATGCGAGAAGCGAGCCTGCACGCGAATGCCAGCAAGGTGGCCGCGGACCGGTTGCGAGACATACCACCCGGCTTCAAGTTCGGTTGTGCTGAAGATCGAGGGGAGCCCGCCATGGACAACAAGATCGACGTTGACGACATGCCACCTGGATTTCGGTTTCTGTCTGGTGAAGATCGCGAGCAGTTCGCCAAACAAATGGTCGAGCAGTCTCTTAAACGTAAGCGCCAGGAACTCGAAGAAAAGGATATCTCGCTCAAGCGCAAGCGTTGCGACAACGTCATGAGCTGTTACAGCTGGATGTCTGATTTCGGCTATGAGTTCGAGTTCGATTCGAGCACAGTATTTCACATTTTGGATACCATGGCCGTCCTCACCGAAGTAGACGTTGGTGTCGAGGGCGAGGTGATTTAAACTTGCTTGCGGATCGACAAGTCAACGTCGCCAAGGTCCTCTCGAAAAACGCATGCACTTGACACACACAGCACAGGTCAATGGAGGCATGGTATCATCCTGTGACCGGGATGAATACGGCCGTGCACGGACGAGTTGGAAGCCGTGTACGCGCTGATTCGGGAATTCGGAGACGTAGCGGTGTCTTTGCTTTGTCGCCACCGCCACGTTGGAGCCGTCCGCGTGGAACTCGTCGCGAGTGAAAACGAAGAACAAACGAGGGAAGCCAGAGCCATGACTCGAGAGGACAAGCATCCTCTGAAACAGCCTGGGGGGGGCGGGGCGGATATGCCAATGTGTCCGCATGATCGCGCGCGAATACGATTTCAATATGTGCTCGGGTTGTTGCCCGATGGTGACGTCCGAGCGATGAAGACTATATTGTGGCAGTCACGTCGTTGAAAGTAAAGAAACTAAGCCAGGTCGGCAATCATGGCGTCAAGCTTGGCCCCTTCGAGGATGGCCTCAATCTAAACACATTCAACAATCATGGCGTTACGCCTGGCTTCTTTGGCTTTGAGAACAGAAAGGCCCGTGCGCACTTTTCGTAGAGACAACCGATCAGACTCGTTTTCTTCGCAAGATCTTTCCATCCGAGGCGGTGTACTTCGGCGTCGTAAGTTCTGGGTAAACAATCAGGAGCTGACGCAAGTTGGGTTGTTGTATCCGCAAATAAAGATTTACCCCAAACTTTACAAGTCAAGGCGTGTGTAGGCGTGCCACAACTCGTCTGCAAGCATGTTGGCCTGGCTCATCGGCTGCTCCACTCATGGAATCTCAAAGCAAATGCTGGCGAAAACGAAAGATGCTCTGAAGCTGCTGAATGATCTCACGTCCGACGGGAACATCGGGCATGACTACTACCAAGCGCCTGACTTCGCTTCTACAATGGACAGAAACCTCGCGGATTTCATGCCCTTTTGCGTAGCGAAGGAAAACGTTTGGTTGGTGACGAGTGGTTACAGAGTTCGACAGGCCCACCACGACGCATTCTATGTCCTCAGCGCCTGTCAACTCCCAGTTCCGGTCGATATTTTGTACGGCAAGGCCAAGCAAGCCTCCAAGGATGTAAAATATACGTGCAACGGCATGAAGACCGAAAACACCGGCTGGGGCAAGCACACCCAGGAACGGATCGACGAGGCGTGGGCCACCCTCGAGGCGGACACCGTGGACATCGAGTCGGGCCCCCCTCCGACATGCGGGTGTAAGGCGATCAGAGCGCAACTTTATGTTGCGGAGAAGAAAGAGAGTTGTTAGCTGAAAATATCAGGAGTGTCATTTTCAGAGTAGTAAGAGGGATTCTTTGCAGACGCTGGCCTGCCATTCCTTTTTTGAAAGCTCAAGTGTTGGCACGGAAGTACCGAATGATATCCCGGGAACGCTGCTTTCGTGGGTCCAGTCGTGGGGCAATATGTGGGGTTGGACAAGAATGAAGACGTTGTGAGCAAGTACATGAGTGCGTAGAGCGCAAGTCGTCGAGCAAACTTTGTGTGAGCCGCGCTTTCAGAGGAAAGGTGTGCCCTAGCTGACACACTGGACATCCGCCATGCCACGAATCGTTGTGACGGGGACAAAGCGTCAGAATTTAACGACATTCCGATCAGCTGTTGTTGGGATGGACATGGCGAGTTAAAAACTGTGCGAGTATCAGGCAGAGGATTCGCGCGGACGAGCACAAGGAAGCCGAGTTTCAGCGCCGGTACCGCATGCTAAGAAACGAGGTGGTTGGAATTACGCCGATGCGAGGACTGGGAGGACAGCCTAGAGAATATTCTGCGGGGAGAAACTAGGTCTTCGATTGAGTTCCTGCCGAGGGGCATGCGGAAGAAGTGTGTTGCGCGACTGGCGCAAGATGGTGTTTTTGATGAAGATTTTGAAATTCAGTATTATATCTGCTCGGCGCTTCTCGGGAGCTTTTATCGATGCTGGAACAGGGGATGGTGAACACCTCTGTTGAGTATAGGCGCCGCTGTGGACAGTTTCTGCTTGTTTTTGGGTGAAGCAACACAAGGGCCGCCGCGTGGTGCAGCCAGCACTAACTATCCATAGAGACGATAATCAGTGCATTTAGCACCAACATTGAAATGCTGCCGTTCGGTTTCAGCGCACAGGTGTCTGTTGTGTTTCGTTATGGTAGCACCAGCTGCCGCAAATTTG